GGGAAATTATCGGATTCTTTATCATAAAACAAATAAAGAAGCCTCAACTGTGTTCTGTTCTGTTGTAAAGTACTTAGGAAGCGGTAGAGCACTCAAGAAGTAGGGAAAAACACTCGACTACGTCTCGTGTTTTCCCCTACACTTCTTTCGTGCTCCACCGCTTCCTGCGTGCTTGACAACAGAACAGAACACAGTCGAGGCTTCTTTATTTGTTAATTGTTTGATTAGTAATTCCTCGTCCCTTGTTCTCTAAGAATCTTTGTCTATGTTCCCCTGTTCACCTCTCACCATTTGACCTTGTTCCGTCAAACCCCTGGGATTCTGTAAACTTCGTTAACTTGATGACGACGTGGCTATCGAGTGGCCATCGAAAATCAAAAGACGCTGACCAGTTTACCTGTCACCGCCGTCTCATATTTTTGCAGCTGCAACCGGAAGTCGATGAGATATATGGGTTCAGCTGTTCGTTAGTTACTGTGATTTCCTCTAGGTATCCCACGTTTTATTTGATCTCAATACTGTAAGATGTAGATGAAGAACGTGTGTGAGGGGCTAATTTGAGCAGGTAAGTGAATACTTGATAGGCTAGGCAGAAATAGCCCTAAGTAGTTCGAAATAGCCTTGCTTATGATATTTGTTTGCGAACACGGCTGCTTTTAATATCCGTGTTTCCTTATTAAAACTCCTCAAGAGCAGAATATTGTAGAATGACGGAGATTACGAAGACCATTGGATCAGCTGGATTTCTTTGAGGTCCAGTGGGAAACAAGAGGTGAATATTTCTTCTAACTGCTGTTAATCTGAGTAGAGAGCCAGGATCGATTTGCGCGCCAAATTGTAGGTATGTCTGAGTTATCACTGGTTTAATGTAAGACCATTCTGCAAATATGCATGCGAAAAGCTTATATATGTAATTACTCGAGGAAACCTCGAAGTTACGAGACGAATTTACGCAGCATTTTCAGTGAGTGCTAGAAGCCTAAAACTATCATTACTAAGCCTGATATCTCCGGTGTCAAATTTCAGTCTTCTCAATTCTTCAGAATTGATCTTCTATTGTAAACCCATTCCTTTTAGCTTTTGCTTGTGGGTGTTAAAAGAGTTTTTAGGTGCATTGAAATACTCAGTGAGCCTCATCTTTTGATTCTGATTTTATCAATTCGCTCATTTACCCCTGGGTACATATTGAGGCAAGTGCACTGTAAGTTTAAATTTCTCACCACACAACAAAGTCTTATGCAGAACGTGCAGAGCAAGTTGGGTACCATACTTCGTTACATAGTTGCCTGTATTAAATTTTCATTAAGCACTCCTCCTTAATAAGTGCACCTTTAAAATATGAATATTATTTTGTGATGTGTCGAGTATTTTGTGATGTGTTGGCACGTGTTGAGTTTTGCTCCCAATGTGTGGCTTCATAGCTCAGTTGGTAGAGCATCACACCAGTATCCCAGAGGTCACGGGTTTGAATCCCGTTGAAGCCCTGTTTTTTTTCAGGCTTCTTCTTTCCAGTTGCTTAAATTGGAAAATTTACTGTGATGATCATTCTTCACTTCTGAATATTATTTTGTTCAGGTGTGGTGCACAAACATAAATGTGTTGAACTTGGATCATGTGTACTATAGGCATCAGCAGTAGAGTGGCGATCTATACTCTCGATCGATACCCTCGATTGATATCTTGATTGATACTTGATGGACATCTTGATCAATTCTTGATTGACACTCAATCAACACTTGATCAACAGTCGGTTGAAAATTAGTCGACTGTTGACTGACTGTCGACTGTGATGTCAATAGAGTGTCGATGGAGTGTCGATCAAGTATCGATCGAGTGTCGATTGAGGGCCAATCAAGGGTTGATTGAGGGTATCAGTCTAGGGTATCGACTGACTCTCGATCTCAGATGCCTTTAGTACACATGATCCTCGAACTCTTGAGGTATGATGTGGAGAATCAATGCTTTGGGCTTGAATGTACTCCAGAATTGGTCATGTTACTGAAGCACATGATGATGTTGGATTGTCTCTGTCATTATTCCATTCATTTAAAGAGTTATTTTAATAGGCAAGCTAGATAAAAGTGATAATTAAACTTATGGCTGAACTGTTTCATTTTTTCTCAGTTAACATAAATCCCTCCACCTTTATTTCCTTGCTAGATGAGTACTCCTGACATGGAAAAGATTGCCAC